TTCGTAAAAAGGGAATTTAATCGTATCTTTCAGTCTATAATTGTTAGCTCCCTAGAGAGTAGATTACATGTAATAGTATGAAGTAATCGACTCCACCCGAATTTGTCTTTCCTTGTTTGTTTTGTTTATCTTGGACCAGGCCTGCTCATTGCTTTTAATAACTTGTTTACCTTTGAGACACTTTATGGAGGTAAAGGACTGTTAGAACTTTGGGCACAATCATCATAACTCAATCATGTCTACCATAAATGTGACACTGACACAGTAATGCTTCTTTCATTGAATAATTTTTTATTCTTGCATTGCATTAAAAAACTTAAACTTTAACAATGAATAAAAAACACACAAGCGCCCAATTAATCGTATAGGAATTAAGAGATTCCCATAACTCAAAGTCGTTTTAAATCATAACCACCATAACCACATACGAGTCCATTTGTCTAATCAGGCCTTCTGGCTTCTTAAGTCATAAATTTAGTAATGCTAACAATATCTGATACAACGCACAGTCTTATAACGGTAGCCATCTTGAGCTAGCTCAGCACTTTTCGCCTCTGGCACTTTAGCAATATCATTACTGGGGGGTAAGTATTCACCATTTGGGGCATCAACGCTTTCGGCGGCGGCAACTTCTTCAGCAGCCTCACGACGATGACGACGGCACTTCAAGCGATGCACAGCCTTATAACGATAACCATCATCACCTAAGACGGTCTTCAACTCCGGAGCCAACTCAACTTCCACAGTAGGTAAGTATTCAGCAGATTGAAGGGAAGTTAATTCAGAGACATCACGGCGATAACGTGAATCTCAAACGACGTACAGTCTTGTAACGGTAACCATAGGTAAATATTCAGCGCTGGGCTCGGCAACTGGTGGCAAATATTCAACGGAAGGCGCTTCACGACGATGACGGTGTACTTTGAAACGTCTCACAGTTTTGTATCTATAACCATCTTCAGCTACACGAGTGTCAGCGCCCTCCGGTGGTATATATTCGGAAGATGGTTCAGGTACAAGCGGCAGGTATTCCTCTGAAGGTACCTCACGACGATGACGGTACTTCAGACGACGCACTAACTTGTAACGGTAACCATCATCGGCAAGTGGCGTCGATTCTTCACCGACTGGTGGCAAGTATTCAGTGGACGGCTCGACACTGTCAGCAGGTACAGATTGAGCAAATGCCAGTGATGCAAAAATGGTTTAAATATTTAGACATATTGTTTTATTCGTAATATAATATATGGTCTCACCATTTTATGTTTTCTGTTATAAAATTGAAATTTTGTTAAACGAAACTGTTGTAGAACTTAACACTTCGCTGATGCTAAGCTCAATGAGGAAGTTGCTCGATGGTGCAGAATATTTATTTATAGCTGCTCTGATTATGTAAGAGATTTAATTAAAATATTGAGTAATTGAACAAAAGCTACAACAATTGTGGGAAAAGATTGTGGATATAACCACAAAAAATGATTATGTATGTAGAACATTTATAGAAAAGCAACCCAGAAAATTATAACAAAATAGGAACGTCGATAATGGCAGCAGCTTCAAGTGTTCTTCGAGTAATCCAAGTTATTAAATGACGTTAGCGAGTACACGAATAAATTATGAACTTCATTTTTTGCATTTTCGAGCGTAATGACGCCATAGGTACTTAAGCGAAGTTTATAAATTTACTCTAGGGGCAATTTCGTTTTTACTGTTACTGTTTACTATGTATGGAAATTCGCAAATATTCGCTTGACTCCTTTTTAATCTGTACATTGAAACACTTATTCTTCAAAAATTATTGCGTCACGAATTATTTCTGATTTCCAGTTATATTGGAAATCTCTACAAAGTGTACGTACGTCATATTCGCAATAATTATTATAATTATTGGTATCCCGAAAACTTTAGTTTTTTTTTAATTTTATGTTTAGAATTAACTCAAATTTCTCTACGGCGGTATCGTCTAAAGTTCCAGAAAAGTTAGGTAAGGTAATGGAAGACTTGCCCGAAAATATATACATATATATCGATATGCTCTTTTGCTATATTTAGAGTACCAGCATACATCAACTTCATTTTACATCCAAAATTATTTAAAAACCATTTCTCGACGTTCACTGCGTTCATCGTTTCAAAACTTAAATGACCATTGTAGAATTCAGCTCCTTTCTTCACTGATTTTTCTAGATTTTGTCATTTTTGTCCTGCCAAAACTCGATTTTTTATCATATATACAATATATATATTTAACTATATACAAAAAAGGTAATAAAAATATGATAGTTATCGGATCACTCTTCCTGAGTACTCACTCAAGCAACTTTGAAACTTGATTTTTTTCACTAAATATTTGGATCGAAGATTAAAGATCATTCGATATCATCTTTCAGGATTAACTTTTAATTTTTCATGAATATTAAGTCATAGCTTCTGTAAATATGGGTTAGAAATGTAAAAAAAAAACCTTTCCACAAAATGGCGAATTTGATACTGCCATGTATTAGTAATTTTAGGTTTAGACCAAAGTCTAGCATCAGCGCACATTCTCTCAAGGCGCTTTGAGTATTATTTTCACTTGCGACCGTTATTAATATTATGCTGGAGAAGCGATGATAATAATATGAAAGCAGAGTAAACGATTTTATATCACCTTTATATCACCATATATAATATGAATGGAAATTAAATTTTTTCTATTATTTTTTTGCTATATTTTTTTCAATAATATTTTTCACTACAATTGTAAAATTAACAATTAATAACAATTTTATACTCTTGCAACTTGCAGGAATCAAAGCCAGGAAAATACATTAAGGTGTGAAACGTCAATCAAATGATCCGAATCCAAGCAATTTTATACATACCCTATATAATTCACACACCGACCGACAAATTCGATAAATGGTTCATTAGAAAATCGAAAATATGTATAAGTAATATATACGAATTGGGGTAGTATCGACCCTTAATGAAACTCAAGGATGACTCCTGTCATCAAAGAAAAAACAGTCGTCGCATTCCCGACTATGCTCCCACGTCACTGTTGACAGTCATAACTTTGAAGTCGTAAACAACAATGTCAGCCTGGAAATCCAGCGCAGAAAAACTCTTGCCAAGAGGTACTACTTCGGGCTACGTAGGCAATTGAGAAGTAAAGTCTTCTCTCGACGAACAACAACCAAACTCTATAAGTCACTCATTATTCCCGTCCTGCTATATGGTGCAGAAGGTATGGGCGATGACAACAACTGATGAGTTGACGTTGCGAGTTTTCAAGAAAAAGGTTCAGCTCTGAAAGTTTTCGACGCAATACATGTCAGTGTAAGCAGAGAAAGAAGAATACCTCCATTTCCTTGGAAAGATCTTTTAGAGAAGGACCTGGCTACACTTGGAATCTCCAATTGGAGTCAAACAGCAAAAAGGAAGAACTACTGGCGCGCAGTTCTAAACTCGGTTATAACCGCGCAAGCAATGTCTAAGCCAATAAAGAAGCAGAAGTACAACCGTAGGGTGAACAAAACTATTATACTCGCATAGTACTCTGTAGCAACATGTTGAAAGTAGAATAACCAAAACCTATGTCAGTGCACGCACTTTAATTGGTAATTGAAAACATATATTTGTAACAGAACCAAATTTACAATTTATTGACAAAGTATATATGTGACCTGGTCTACGAAAAGGGAGCTAACGTGCGAAAACTAGTTTATGACTTTTTGAATTCTATCACGTGAAAAAGCATCTCATCTTCCATCCGAATCAACTAAGATTTTTTGACACCTAAGCCCCCCTTTTCGTAGACCAGGTCACATATATATTTTTGATATCTATAATTTCAATGTCATCCATAGGATTAGGGATTAGAAACTGGACATCTTTTTAGTTGCTCTAAACCAAGGATTTAAATTTTTCGATAAAATTAACAAATGGGTTTGATAACGACAGGGGTATACTACATAGAGTAGAAAACTCAGATGCACTTCGTGCAGTTTATATAAGAATATATAATACAGGGTTTGTGCAGAAAGTAACTGTATTTTCAGTCAATTGTCTCAGAGCACCTGAGAGCAGAGGTACGCGATTAAACTCTATGTGAAACTGACTACTACATAGTATGTAAATCTGCGGCAGAACCGTTTGATATGATCAAGCAGGCAAATCCATAGTGAAAATGATGCTCATTGTCTTTTTTGACAAAGTTGAAATCAAAATGCGTTTCAAATCGGTAAAGCATTTTGCGATATTACTTCTAAAAACCATCAGAGCCACACACATTACATAATTTTGAACGGAATCATATATAAGTAAGCCATTCATCCGTTTGGTTATATTTATAGTACATGAAATTATTACTTTAGCAGTCATCGCTCAATAAGTGAAATCACTTATACATATATGCCAGGTTCGCGAAATTATTTATGTCGTTCCCCATATCACAGTTACTACATATAGAAAAAAATTGTTTAATTACTAACTTGAACACTTTATGTTATTTTTTATAACATCAATTTAACAATGTGACAAGACTGTCTGCAATACCAACGTCATTAGAGTGTCAAGGAACACCAACAAAATTCGTATTTCTGCCTCTTTCGGTATATTTAGATAGAGGAATGTATACGTACTATATTTCAAAACAATAAGTAATAACTATTCGCATATTCGAAAAATACGAGTTAACTGTTGAACCGAATACTACAGGTATACATATATAGTACTTAATATTCGGTTGGCCAAACAAGTTTTTTATCCGAATTTGAGTAACATTATATTTAGTTTAATGTACGATTATCTGAAATAACAATGTTAACATTACCTTATATGATCTGACATATGCCAATTCCTGCCAATATCACCTACAACCTACTTATTCTTTAGATTGATTAGTGCGTCAGTAATTTCCAGTAATAACCAAGCATTATATTCAATGGAAAATTATTGAAAAATCTGCATCAAATACACCAATCTCTTTCATATGAAGTAAATAGTAAAGATAAAAGTGATAAGTCATAAATTTTATTATTCTTGCATTTTATTTCTTAATATAACAAACTAATCGTAAAGCGCAATCAGTACACGTCGGACTATTTCATTTTAAAGTTCCATATCTCGAATATATCATATTTTTACATCATAAATTCTCACTTATCATTTAACATGCGGGTTCATTAGGTTTATACAGTCTACTGACGATGGCGGTACTTCAAGCGACGCACTGTTTTATAACGGTAACCATCCTGAGCCAATTCAGCACTCTTCACCTCTGGTACTTCAGCAACATCTTTACTAGGTGGCAAGTATTCACCATTGGGGGCATCAACGCTTTCGGCGGCGGCAACTTCTTCAGCAGCCTCAGCTTCACGACGATGACGGCGGTACTTCAAACGACGCACAGTCTTATAACGATAACCATCGTCACCTAAGACGGTCTTCAACTCCGGAGCCAACTCAACTTCTACAGGAGGTAAGTATTCAGCAGATGGCAATTCAGAAACATCACGACGGTGACGAGCACGGAATCTCAAACGACGTACTGTCTTATAACGGTAACCATCGTCAGCGACGCGGGTTTCAGCACCCTCTGGTGGTAAATATTCAGCGCTGGGCTCGGCAACTGGTGGCAAATATTCAACGGAAGGCGCTTCACGACGATGACGGTGTACTTTGAAACGTCTCACAGTTTTGTATCTATAACCATCTTCAGCTACACGAGTGTCAGCGCCCTCCGGTGGTATATATTCGGAGGATGGTTCAGCTACTGGCGGTAGATATTCCTCTGAAGGTACTTCACGACGATGACGGTACTTCAGACGACGCACTGCTTTATAACGGTACCCATCATCGGCAAGTGGCGCCGATTCATCACCGACTGGTGGCAAATACTCGGCTGAGGGATCAGCTGATGCTGATTGGGCGATGGCATATGCAATAAAGCACGCAGCCAGTGCGACTGCGAAGAGTTTCTGTGGATGAAGGACATTAAGATATTTCAGAGTTGACGGACCTTTAAGCAATAGTTATTTGAATGGGTGTTAAGTAGTATTCTGGTATCAAGTTATTGGGATAGATTGGGATAGTTTTATTTTTTGTACTCACCATTTTCTTGTTATTCTTCTGTGTAGCCTGTCAATTTATAAAGTTGTTTTTATTATATTTTTCCGAATTTGTGAACTTAACACTCAGCAGTTGCTAAACTCAATGATGCCACTATCGAGGCATTTAGAATATTTATAGTATTCTAGATCAGTCAAAACGAACTAAAAATGATTGTGGTTGCCAAGTCAAATCATATACTTCAATACAAATAAAGATGTGAAGTAATTATAAATTTATAAAAACAAAACACATGAATAAAACAATAACCACATTCCAGGTACTTCTGTAAGTTCACCTGGATCTGGCTTGGGCAATAGAAGCGCTGAAAATGGTAACAGCTTAAGTAGGCATCAACTGTCCAAATTACTAATTGTAGATATGGTACATTCACCACATATACATATGTATGTATTCGCTCAATGGCTAACAATTTATGGCAACTACAATGGGGCTTACAAATTATATTTATCTATAATATTTTCAACTCCTCCACAAAAATTTCTTTGAAGGGCACTTGTGCAAATTTGATTGAATTATTAACATTTAAACTTAATTTTTCGATCCGGTTTTTTTAAGTGGTCCATTGTTCAGCGCTGTTCAACTTCTATATATGCGCATAAGTATGTGTAGTGAGTAGTAACCACAGCGGCGCTATTCATTTGGACTGCTGGCTGTGTGCTGTAATTGGCTACTGTTCGCCTGATGCCACTTTAGGCCACCAAATTGATCGATCTGAGTTCTACAATTATGATTTAATGCTTCGAATACACACACGAATCATTTGTTGACGTAAATAACGCTAAACTGATGAACGATTAAGCATTAAAGCAGAAAAAAAACGAAGAGGATAAAATGCTAAATCATCTTATCAGCATATTTGTTTTGCACTCATCCCTACATCTTAACAAACATAGGTAGTTGCTAAAAGTGCCCACACACGACACACAAGTGCGTTCGATCGGTATGCGTGCGCATGCAGTTTACTCGTGTATGGGCTTGAGCGTGTTTGATTTTTAACGATCGGTGTGCGCACATGTGTGTCGTGTATGGCGTTGTGTGCGCACAAAATCTCATTTCTCTCGTGTCGCCGAACAGTGAAGATCGCGGACGAACATTGATAGTGTTAAGGGGGGAGCCTGCTTTAGATACTTCAAAAAATCGATTTTTTTGAGGATTTTTTTTGGAAAGGAAAGAAATCTTTGATTTATGTGAAATTTCTAGGCTATATATATATATTTGAACGTCTTTCACAAATTTTCGAAATACGATACGAAATCTTTGATATTCTGTCTTTGGGAAGAAAAAAATTAAAACTTGAAAAAAGGGGTTTTTGTCCAAAAGAAATTTTACTTAAAGTTGTTTAAAAATATGTTCACACTTGACTTTTCTTAGTTTATTTATTATAGTTTAAACAGAAGATACTTTAATGGCAAAGATAATAAACTTTGTCCCATATTACATACTGCTAGACGCTCTGTCACTATTTCCCTTCTAGCTTCGATAATATTTCGAATTCCCATTTATAACTTTGGGTACATATTCTTAGATAATTTTTAAAGAGATTTAAGCAAAAAAAAACAAATCGATTGTTTGAAGCTTCTAAAGCAGGCTACCCCATCAATAAAGATTTCGTATCAGAATTTAATAATCTTATAAAAAATTAATTAACAATTTTTTAAACGAAAAGTAATAAATATAAAAATAAAATTGAGAAAAATAAAAGTTGGAATAACTTATTACATTAGAAATAAATTCCAAGAAATATTCCGCTGTCCTGTGGCACATATTTACTGTGTGAAGAATGAACGCAAAATGGATTTGTGTGTCGTTTATGGGCGAAACGAATTCACACAGATCCAACATGTATCTCGTGTATGGGCCCTATAAGGCAAATTTAATATATGGTAAATATTCGTGATGATTTGGCTCATCGAGCACTATTTATTGAGTTATATCTTTCATAATAAATAAATTAGCAAGAAAGGAAACAAAGCGAACGCGATCTCAAAGTTCTTAAGTGGCATTGTATTACGTAATTTATATTTGAATCAAGAGTGGAGCATAGGAAATGTAATCAGCGAAAAACAATTACTTCGATTTCGCTAAACTGACCTTGGCTGGAGTGTATTGCTCGCAAAGGCACAAACTTCTACAACTGCTGTCAAATCTTTGTATAAATGTTCTAAAATTACATTTCTATAATATCATTTTTAATTACAAATATGATTTCTTTGGCATGTGCATTGCAAACAACTTTACATTTTTGATGCCTAATTCCGCAAATGGAATCCAAACCAAGGCTGGTAGTCGGTTGGTTAAAAATGAGGTGGAAAAATGCCTGAACGCATGCGACTACACTGAAGTCACCATTATGTTCATTATGATCCTAGGTGAGTCTCATATTGATCAAACTAAAATTATAATATTTCTTTTGAGTTCTGAGATAATCTACCGCATTCTTATTGATATTATTTTAGGTTTTTCCTATCGTGTATTACTACCGAGCGTTGCATATCATGGTATAGATGGGATACAAATAAAATAATTTCGAGTGAAGACAGCATAAGTCCTCATAAAACAAAATGTTTTATCTTGTTTTCGAAGATAACAAATTTAAAATTTCGATTAGATAATTAGCCAATTTAGCCAATTAGCCTATTTTAGCCAAATAATGGAAAATGTTCAGTACATATTGTCAATATCATATGCGATAGCAAATATTTTAACAAAAATAACAAGGCATTAAGATACCAAAAAGCGTCAAAGAATGAAAGCTTAATATCAAACAACAAAAACTTAAAATTGGCAAAACAATAAAAAAAATTTAAACAAAATCAAAAATAAATGTTTTGTAGACATTGTTGGCCCAAAATTATTTAAAATAATGCATCAAGAGTGAAAGCTTTAGCAAAGGCTTAAACTTAGACCTCGTTATTGAGGAGATCTAGTGGGAGCAAACACCGAACATACTAAATACCACGTTGGCGACCTACTATCTTCGTTCAGAGAATAATGTTTCATTCGTAGAGGTATTATAGTCTGAATTAATGATATCTCTCTCTTAAAAACTGAAAAATATTAATATATTCTTTAATTGGTATCGTCAAATCCAATGGGAAAAGCGGTTAATCTCTACCATTTGATTCAGTTTCACTTATTTCTGTAAAAGAATATATTCGAAAACATGAAAGCTTGGAAACACTCCCAATGTATATGTGCAGAAAACCCGTAATCCTTATTTGAAAAAAAAGGAAAATCAAGTAAGGACGAGCTGAGTTTGTGTGCAACCAAACATTTTATACTCTTACAACTTGCAAGAATCAAAGCAAGGGTGGCGGCAAAATTTTATATTAAATATAAAGTGTGTTGCGAACTAATTAAACTTAGTTTTATTGCTATATTTTTGTTCGCGTCAGCTAAAATTATATTAAAAACATCTTCAAGTTAGTGACACCCATGTGATACTAACTCGACTGAAGAGGCTAAATTTAATATATTCAGTTAGTATGGGAAACGCCGTTCATAGTTGCGAAATTGTTTATATTAAGGATATGAGGTTTAGACCAGGCGCTAAGCCATGCAATTTATAAAGAAAACTTGTTCACTTCATTGACGTATCACACGTTTTAACTATTTGGAAACACGGAAATCATTAGATGGGGTGTATTGGGGGCAGAGAAAGGGATGGGCTGATGTATTATTAAGTTATTCTATATAACCTTGTATCTCTCTCAATTAGTTTTAGGAGATACATACAACCGATAATTGAACAAAACTATTATATAGTACTCTGTATTTCAACATATTTCAAGAGCATGAAGACTTTTTACTATAAACTGTATTTTTTGAATCCTTTGGATGTCTTCCTATCCATGACCCTCGAAGTGTAATTATGCATCCACCGCAACTAGAATCAACCTACGCCCCACCGTAGTTAAGCAAATCTCACCAAATTACAATGAATTAGCTTAACGTAATGTGAATATTCGAGTATGTGCATGTTTGGTGTAAGCTCATAAATCTCGAAAAACAAACTTTAATGGGCAGTAAAGCAAAGCTCGCCGAATCAAACAAAACCAACAAAATCCACAGCGACAAAGTGTAAATACGTTTTTTATGTTCTGTGGTTATCCCAATAATCAAAGCAAAAGTTATGCCATATAAAATTGCCGAAAAAGCAAAAATAGCAAAAGTCCACATGCAGCATTATTTTCTGATACTGCGTGGACGTCCATTCACACATGCTAACTAAAAGGGCGGGTATGTCCAACCGGCATTTATGCAAGTGCAGCAAATGCTTAAACGCTCAATTGATTGGAAATGCGCACATGACTCATAATTAATAAACTGTAAATATTTTCACAGATTAATTTCTCCTCGCCAAACCAAACCACGCAGATCACCTGAAGGTGATCGACTGGGCAGTGCCTAGCGGCTGGTGGTTAACGAGCCAAGTAAATTACCCCTATGTGTACTAGCTTGAGTTATGTGCATAGGGATGCATGGAAAGACAAACACCGCCAGAGTACCGATTTCATACTTTGTGACAATTCAGCTATTATTAGCAATTTTCAACCACGAATGCCATTACTCATCACAGTTCTATCAGCACCAAAGCAATAGCCCAATTGGTATAAACATATACAAGTAAAAGCGTAGGGGATTCGAAAAATGTTGTCATTGCCTCCACACAGGGGATAAACTGTAGTATTTTTATACTCTCACAACAAAGTTGCTAAAGAGAGTATTATAGTTTTGTTCACATAACGGTTGTTTGTAAGTCCTAAAACTAAAATTGTCAGATATAGGGTTATATATACCAAAGTGGTCAGAGTGACGAGAAGAGTTGAAATCCGGATGTCTGTCTGTCC